ATCTCGAACCAGACGCACCAGATGTGCCATCCAACTGTGGGCAAGACCTCTTCAGGTGCCCCGCCTGACCACACTGGTAACAAGTGGGCGACTACCCTCTACCCTGACTCTGGTCCTGAGAACGAGCCGAAGACGAAGTTGCTCAGTGCCCTCCTCCTCTTTGTGGGCAAACTGGAGACTTGTGGCCTAACTGGCTACATTTGAAGCAAGTTATATCTCCCTGACCACCTCTTCCAAAACCCGAGCTTGGTAATAGAAAGGTAGACCTCGGCTGAACCCCCTGGGACTGCTGAGGGTTAGAACCCCTTTACCTCTTATCATCCCCCTGACTATCCTGACTCCTTCTGGAGTCCCTCATCCTCTCCTCCTCAGTTTGTATGATCGTCTCGAGATAGGCTTCCACCTCTACAAGATGCCCATAATCCCTAATCGTGGATCCGGCCACTCTAAACATGAGCCCGGTCCTCAACTTCTTCTCGAATTCTAGACAATGGCACTCATCAGTCGCCACAAGCTCAGGTGCAAACCTAGACAAACTAGTGAAGGTGGCTTCAAACTCTGCCACAGGTGTGTTCAATTGCTTGAGCTGGGAAATCTAATCCCTCAACTTCTCCCTAATAGTGGGAGGCAAAAACTTGTCTTGGAAGGAGTCAACGAAAGCCTCCCAAGTCCCTCCAATGCGCCCACGCGCATACTTCTACCACTGATTTGCATCTCCCTTCAATTGGAAGAATGCCAAGGTCACTCTCAAGCCCTTATCTTCGATGCCGAGCATCTCAAAAGTCTTCACCATCTGCTCTAGCCACTCATTTGCCTTCAGTGGCTCATTTGGGTCAACCAAAAACTCATCCGAATTCGACTGGAAGAACTCCCTTATCAAAAAAGATGGCCCTACTGCAGCTACTTGGGCTTGGACTTGATTCTCAACTCTAAGAATGTCCATCAATTCCCTCAATGCTCCGGCCATCTCGCGGGCTAAGGTGTCCATGGCTTGCTGACTTACTGGCTTGGCCATATTTGCCCAACCAACTCCTTCCTCCTGTGCTGGAATTTCATCCGGTATAGGCATCTCGTGCCTCCTAAGCCTATCGCGCCTACCTCCACAACCACGTCCCGACTTCCTAATAAAGGTAACAAGGATAGTTAGCACATTTACAATGTGCCGAAGCTAACTCACTCGCGTCCTAATACATTGGACAATAGTAATTCACTCCACATAAGCACATAATCACGTAAACACATATGAATTTCATCTCCGAATAATGACTGTCCCGCGGCGTTGCTAGAGTTCCAATTAGAAACAGCAGTGATCAAGTGCCTTTCTAATAAGACTCCTAGAAACCGGTAGACCCAATAAACATCCAAGAAATTCAATTCCATACCCAAATAGTCACATAAGCATGTTGTCATATAAGCACATACTGTCTATACTAAAGTCTTCAACAAGCGAGACAAGCCGATTGTGGTACTAACCACTTCCCACGTACCCAAAGTATTCAAACCCGGTGCGCTATGATACCAAGTTGTAAAGGCCCCCAAAAAAGTATTCAAACCCGGTGCGCTATGATACCAAGTTGTAAAGGCCCCCAAAAAATAATACAATACATACAACCCAAACATATATTATAAACAACATGAATCAGAGTAAATAGTCCTTTTATTACATGAAGTTAATAACACATAAGGGTTTAACATAATTAAATGTCCTATTGGCGTACATCTTTCCAAGCCTTGACTTGGTTACACAAAAGAAGACTAGCTTTTACACATTTGGCCTTAGGCTTTACAAAAATATACAATTCAAATTAAAGAAGCTCTTGCCCCCAAAATATCCCTCCAAGCTATTGCCTTGGTGGAGGTAAGTTACCAACACCTGAAAATGTTATTCCCAAATAGGATGAGCCACAGCCCTGTAGAAATCATTTAGCACAATATATGAAACTTAACAAAGGTATAAGTACACTATGCATACACAACGTCAGTGATAGAGACATCCACAGTTTATATAATTATAAAGTACTAATTTCCATTCATTTCATCACATGAACCAGTTTCATTATCTCTTTAACAATCCAAATGAGACTTCAACTTATTAGTTCTACTATCACATCAACAATGCATGAACATTTCAAACTTTTCTTTCACGGAAATTTCATCTGCAGGCAACCGTCAAACGGGACCCATGTAAACGTAGGCCATACGAGCACTACAATTGCCATTTTACGGATATTTCGTTCGCGGGCTACGCACCCATGTATAATTTCGGGACTTTCACCTAGGACACTTCGGCCAACTTAATTATAATGAAGTCCAACCCCTTTCTCCTCCCAAACAATCATTCATACATATGCAATGTATTTAAACACAACATCAAACAATGGAGCACATCCCCTTTCCATTCCCACATAATCATACATGTACAATGTATATAAGTATAGTCATATCCAATGTCAAACAACAAGAGATTAGTGAAGACTAGCTTTTACACATTTGGCCTTAGGCTTTACAAAAATATACAATTCAAATTAAAGAAGCTCTTGCCTCCAAAATATCCCTCCAAGTTGTTGCCTTGGTGGAGGTAAGTTACCAACACCTGAAAATGTTATTCCCAAATAGGATGAGCCACAGCCCTGTAGAAATCATTTAGCACAATGTATGAAACTTAACAAAGGTATAAGTACACTATGCATACACAACGTCAGTGATAGAGACATCCACAGTTTATATAATTATAAAGTACTAATTTCCATTCATTTCATCACATGAACCAGTTTCATTATCTCTTTAACAATCCAAATGAGACTTCAACTTATTAGTTCTACCATCACATCAACAATGCATGAACATTTCAAACTTTTCTTTCACGGAAATTTCATCCGCAGGCAACCGTCAAATGAGACCCATGTAAATGTAGGCCATACGAGCACTACAATTGCCATTTTACGGATATTTCGTTCGCAGGCTAGGCACCCATGTATAATTTCGGGACTTTCACCTAGGACACTTCGGGCAACTTAATTATAATGAAGTCCAACCCCTTTCTCCTCCTAAACAATCATTCATACATATGCAATGTATTTAAAGACAACATCAAACAATGGAGCACATCCCCTTTCCATTCCCACATAATCATACATGTACAATGTATATAAGTATAGTCATATCCAATGTCAAACAACATGAGATTAGTTTCAATTCACCTAATCCTCATGTAATTTCTATAACAATCATAACTATTCTCCACCGATAGCCCAATACAGTTATTTCTAAATAGACATTCAATCTCATGACATATAATGTATTCAAATTTCCAAAGAATGAGTTAGTACATAACTCATCCCACCATTCATATCAATACTCTCTCAATTTCACATTTCCAACTGCAATTTTAATTATCTCTATAAAGTAATCATGATAGTCATTTTAGGGTAAAATTTCTCATTTCCTAATTATTAACCCAAATATCATTTCCAACCATTGTGACCCAACACCATTTCATTTTCAAAACCTATATTCATGTATTTCATGTTTAACAACAATCTCTCTTTCCATATATATCCAAACCCTAGGTTTGCTTACAACACCCTCAAGTCACATCATTGTTACACAAGAATACACATAACTAAGCTAAATATCATATATAGCAGAAGAAAAGATCCCTACCTCAAAGAAAGAAGATGAGTCAAACAAGAGAGAAATTCTAAGAACGCCGAAATTCACTTCTATTCGGATCAAAATGTAGATCTTGACGAGCTCTACTTTTTTTCTCAAAGGCACTGGGGTGAAAAAATCAATGGATCTAGATGAAATCTAGAAGAGAAGGTTAATTCTAGAGAGAGAGGCTCAAAAACAAGCTTTTTGAAAAGTTTTAGAGAGAGAGAGATATGAAAAAGTGACTCAAAACATCAACTTCTCGAACTGCTATACGCGCAGTCTGCTCGAGCGTGGAAAGATCCACTCGAGCGTAAGACACAAAGTTCTGCTCGAGCGTGAAAGTTGGCGCTCAAGCGTGGAATGCACACTTCCAAAAGTTTTGCAGACAAAGGTCCCCGTTCAAGTGTCCAATGCACTTTTCCAGTATTGTAGAACTGCAAAAGAAATGCTGAGAATTGACAAATCCCGCTCGAGCGCAAGAATGGCCGCTTGAGCAGAGGAGCATTTGTGAAGCCCGCTCGAGAGCAAGAATGCCCGCTCGAGTGGAAGAGCCAAAATCTGGACGATAAAAGTTTGGAAAAACAAGCAGCCAACCTGTCCCAAATCCACAACTACAACCCAATAACCGAAATAAAGGGGAAGACAAAGGAAAGAGGTATGAATAACTATTCAAAATCATACCAACCCGAGTCCGGAATACAATAAGTAACGAGTTAAAACCGGAATCGCTATATGTGGTTTGTTATCAGTATGACTACAATGAGTATATACACCCCTTGTCAACTACTAGATGGTTCCCTATCTTAAGCAATGCTAAAGGAAACTTGATAGCATCGAAACTCTATGAAAACCATCTTAGGCAACAAGTAAGGAGTCCTATATAAACTACACTCACTTCACATTAAAGGTAACGAATCTAAGCTAAACCATACTCACTTAAACACAAATCTCTACACTTAGATAGTACCTTCTATCTTTTCCGATCATTTCTTCCCACACCGGAGGGGTTATCCAACCAACTCTGGCCGAGCAGCTCTAACGGTGCTCATTGTTGCAGGGTCTTAATTCCTGAATAGTCCAATCAGGTGCGGAGTTTCGATTTACAATCATCTAGTGTGGCATTCGGTACGCACAAATATCATAACTTACAGATTATACACACATTTTTGAAAGGATAGACCATAATATTATTTTTTTTTTTTTTAAAAAAAATAATGAATTGTAATCTTTATATTTTAATTATCAATTTTTTAATTACAATAGATTATACACGTCACATCACCTCTATCTTCCAGTCTAAAAAACTCTTCCTTTTTGTCTATAAATATAGAAACGTTCCCAAACCCCCTTCTCTCCCTCAATAATGTCCTCAATTTTTGGGAAAAACAAGCTATGAATTTGTCTCTGCTTGAATAATCTTCTCCCTCTCCCTCTCTCTCTCTCTCTCTCTGTCTCTCTCTCTCTCTAGTTAAAAACAAGAAGCCAATAAGGTTGTGTTTGGAGATAGTGAAAAAGGATATGGAAGGAGGTATACACCCAACAGATGCATCAGGTTTCAGGGATTGCTTGTCCCTGGCTTGGAAAAACCCATATGTCCTTCGCCTTGCTTTCTCTGCTGGGATTGGTGGTTTCCTCTTTGGCTATGACACTGGTAATTTTATTAACTACCCTCTCCCCTCTCTCTCCCTCTCTGTATACATACATATGGACACATATCTTTAATCTTTTAATTTTTTTTATTTTTTTTTTAATTTTTGGTATGGTGATGTGCAGGAGTTATATCTGGAGCTCTTCTGTATATTAGAGATGACTTCAAGTTGGATAAGAAAACTGTCTTACAGGTGAGAACAAAATTCCACATCCACCAAACAGCAAATTTTATCACTCCATTATTATTATAGCATTATTATATCTATTTTTCAAATTTAATTTGATAATTAATTAAAATATGTAATATAATTTTTTTTATATCTTGTTTAATTATTAATTAATTATTTTACTTATATATCATGACATTTAAAAAATAAATTTAAAAAGTAGATTTATATGTTATTGTTATTATTTTATTAGGTAACTCATTGTCTTGCTATTTTCACTACTAGATGGACAATATTACCCTTAATTAATTATAATTTTTTTCAAAAATAAAACTTATCAAAATACTCATGTGTTTATTTCAACAGTAGTGATTGGTACCACTAAACCACCACTAATGAGGTAAAAAAAAAAAAGCACATCAACACTGTGGCAACGGGTGAGACCCACTGCCACATCATTAATAGCACCATTAATTAATAGTCTCAAGCATTATTCTTAGGAAAATGTTTGAGAGCCACAATTTTTGTGGCCACAATAGCTCAAAACTGTGGCCCTCTAGCATTGTTGTTATTCTTATTTCAAATCCTAATCCCCAAACCATCACAATCATCTATCACCACAACAGCACACCCTCACTCGTCAGACCCAACTTCCACCGAGTCCTAATCCTCTCCAGCTTCTCTCTCTAGTAGTTTCTCCGAGCAACGGTTCAAATAGAGCCACATCACCTCCAAATAAATATACGGTTCAGATTTATTCTTTAAACCAAAAAAAAAAAAAAAGAAAAAAAGTATACACATACACCCACTGACACACACACTCACAGCACACATTCTCTCTCTCTCATTTCTAAAAAAAAAATTAAAATCACACACTCTCTCTCTCTCTATCACATTTTTAATAAAAAAATAAAAAAATTATTTTAATTTTTTTTATTTTATTTTTATAATATATATATATATAATTTTAATTTTTATAAAATTAATATCATTGAAAATATACTTTTAAAATAAGATTAATATTAAATATATTTAATAAAAATTTAAAATAAATAAAAAGTAATTATTTGGTTTAGTTATTCTTTCAAATTATTATTTTTAAAATATAAAAATTATTTTGATGAAAATAAACACACAAAAATCATACATTTTTTAAATTCTCAAAGACAATCTTCATTTCAAAAAAATATATGAAAATAATGATTTTTACTTTTATTTTACTAACCAAATGAGTTTATAATTTTTTTAAAGGAAATAAAAAAAAATCCTATATTTGATTTACACCTATGCATAGATTGAATTGGTGTTTTCAAGAAAATAAAAAAATTTACACCTTTGTACAGATTGGATTTGTGTGTGTTTTTATTTCCTTCAAAAAAAATTATAAACTCGTTTGGTTAATAAAATAAAATTAAAAATCATTATTTTCATATATTTTTTGAAATGAAGATTGTTTTTGAGAATTTAAAAAATGTATGAATTGTTTTTGAGAATTTCAAAAATATATGATTTTTGTGTATTTATTTCATCAAATTAATTTTTATATTTAAAAAATAATAATTTGAAAACATAACTAAACATCGTAATTACTTTTTATTTATTTAAAATTTTTATTAAATTTATTTAATATTAGTCTCATTTTAAAGGTATATTTTCAATGATATTAATGTTATAAAATTAAAATTTTATAGTATTAAAAATTATATATATATTATGAAAAAGTTTAAAATAATTTTTTATTAGAAATGAGAGAGAGAGAGAGGGGTAGGTGGGATGTGACCGTGACGTGTGCGCAGTGAGGTGAGGGAGAGAGAGGAGTGTAAGAGAAAATGAAATGATTCAGTGTGGGTGTATTTTGAAATTTTTTGTTAAAAAAAATAAATCTAAACCATTTATTTCCTTGTGGGGTGACGTGGCTCTATCTCAGCCGTGCCCTGGAGGAACAGTCGGAGAGAGTAGCTAGAGAGGATTCAGACTCACTTCACCACCTTGCGACGCCATCCCCATACCCCTTCCTCACCGTTCAGACTATTAGAGATTTCAAAAATTTTATTAATACTGTGTTTGATTGGAGAATTTGAAAAAATAAAAAGAAATGAAAATGATAGGTGAAATATGAATAAAATATATCTATATATTACTTAATTTCATACACTTTTTCATTTTTCATTTCCAAATCCATCTCCAAATCCCTCAACCAAACATAACATGAGAGATTTCAAAAAATTTATTAAAATTTTTGTCAAATATTTTACATAAGTGTGTGATCCATACAATGTGAGTCCTATGTAGATCCCATATCATGTAAAATATTGGATAGAATTTTTTATAAAATTTTTAGAGTTTCTAACATTTTTGTAGGGGTCAAACCAATAGCAACCGTTCACATATCAACCACCAAACCAAGAGTATTTGTACCATTGAACACATCTGGTGGCTTAAGCATGTTGGGTAGAAGAGAGAGGGGGTGGTCGTGAAGGGATGATGCGAAGGAGGTAGCAGGGGTGGAATGGGCGAGAATGGTGGCAGGTGAGGCCCGGGTTTACTGGTGCCTGGGGTTAAGATTTGAAGGTTGAAGAATGTGAGATATTTTTAGATGATGAGTTGTGTACTAAATAAAAAATTAAATTTTAAAATCATTTAGATGTAGTGAAAGAAAAAGTGTGCTAAGAATTTTTTGTGCGTAAAAATAGAATTTTCCTCAAAACTGGCTATATAGGGTTGTTAGGGATTTGTTTATTTAGTATATTTTTTGATTTTTTATAAAATAAAATAAAAAATGTGTGTAGAAAAATATAAAGGCGATCTAATCCAAATAAATGCATTTATCAAATAAGTGCATTTGTTTAGATCTTCTCAAAAAAAAAAAAACCCCTAAGAGTTATCAATATGTCCTAAACATTGATCTTTTAAATGTGGTGTATATATTGCTACTGGTAGGACAACTAGAGCAATACTATAAACTCAATCAATTCAAAAATTATTCAGAAATTAATTTTTACCACACCTTACATGAACCTCACACTACCTAAATTAATTTTTACTGTACAATTATCCACATAAAAAATTATGAGTGGGTAAGTGTGGATTACCAGACTTTCCCAGGACAACTATTGAGGGCATTCACAGTAATTTAAGATGATTTTAAAATTTAATGATTTTACTTCATTGAGGGCCTTAACTGCAAAACAGCTCAATCGTATCCTTTGGACGTAACAATTAATTGGTAGTTATTGTCTTAAATTACTATTGATCTAAAATAGTAATTAGTACAATTCTTTTTTTCTTTTTCTCTTTTTTAGCATGTATATGTAGTTGGATTTTTAACAGAAAACACATCATGTTTTAATTTAAAATAAAAATAAAAAATAAAATCTGCATAATGTTTGTAACATATATTGGGAAAGCTATTTGTTATCTTTATTACAATTAAAGGACTAGAATCTTGAAATTTTCAGAAATATGGATAGTTGAAATATATTCTATACATAGAATATTGAATTGAATCATTCATTGTTCCAATTTTCCAATAAAAAAATAGATAACTTATAAATACATCTCATTAGATTTGTTCAAAATATGAATTGTCTCCTATTATTCAAAAATTACATCACACCCTTAAAGTTTCTAATTTCATAACAAATAACACATTTTATTAATAAATTATTAAGTCAATTAATAGTTTTTAATGATATTATAAATATATTTCAATTAATAATTCATGTAATTTTACTATCGTATAAGAGAGCAATTATAAATTTCATTTTTGTAGTTAATTCTATTAAATAAAAAATTATGATAAGGGATATTTCTAATTTCATAACAAATAACTCATTTTATTAATAAATCATTAAGTCAATTAACAGTTTTTAATGATATTATAAATATATTTCAATTAATAATTCATGTAATTTTACTATTGTATAAGAGAGCCGTTATAAATTTCATTATTATGGTTAATTCTGTTAAATAAAAAATTATGATAAAAAGTATTTATAATTTTTCAAATCACAAAAAACAATCTATATCTTAAACAAAGTACCGTATTTATAATTTATCCAAAAAAAAAAAATTTAACATTTTGTTTCCAACTTTGAGTCAGTAGCTATTTTGTGTTAATAGTTTCCATTTAAGGCTTGAAACATTCTTTTTTAATCAAAAATCAAGCTCCGTAGAATTCATGCAGTTTACACAGCTAGTTGTTTCCTAATATATACGACTCACTTTCTTTCGTGAATTTATTCTGCGATTAAATTTGAAAATTTTAAATAATCATGTATTAACAGATAATTACCGATAAAATATATCGGTAGTCTCTATACTTTAGTCCTTGTATTATTTTGGTTCTAATAATTTCAATTGATTCAATTTTGACATTAAATTTATGATTTTGTTTTAATTTGACCCAATTGATTATGTTTGTTAGCGTTTTTGATGAAAAATATGCACGTGACCATCATGCGTCATGCTTTTAGGTTAAAAAATATTTAATCCTTATATTGTGGTTCTTATATTATTTTAGTCCCAATAATTTCAATTAACTTAATGTTGACACTGAATTCATTATTTTGTTTCAACTTGATCAAATTGGTTATGCCTGTTAGAGTTTTTTTGTTTCAACTTGATCAAATTGGTTATGCCTGTTAGAGTTTTGATGAAAAATGCACAAGTGACGCGTCATGCTTTTAGGCAAAAAAAAAAAATGTATGTGTAACCTCAATTAACTTGATGACAAATTTTCGTCGAAAATCCTAACCGCCATTGTCAATTGAACTAAAATTGACACAAAATTGAAATTTAAGGGTAAAAATTGAGCCAATTTAAAGTTTAGTAATTAAAATGACCCGATGGGCACAATGCAGTGATTACCAGTGTAATTTGCCCTACAGTTAACAACCAATGACATCTTAAAATTGAGAATTTACTTACAATTATCTTAATTTTTGAGTAAAAGTAAATGAACCTGACTTAGAATTGAATGTTGGGTGAAAGATGATTTTTGATTAATTAATTATAATAATAAATCTTAATTTTAAAAAATAAATAAAAATTCAGTACTTCAAATTTTTTTGGCACTCAAGACTTTCCAATACTAATGTTCTAAGAAGCACGGAACTTCTAAAAATGTGGCATGTCCATGTCGGACATAGACACTCGTTGGATACTTCTCGATACATGTCCGATACTCACAAACTTGTCCTATTTTTTTTTAAAAAAGAAATTAGATTCAAACACTTTTTAAACACTTAGGACATATGCGTCCATTGCTTAAACACATGTCCATTGATCAAATACACACGAAACTAATTATAAATTTGAACAAAATAATTAATAATATGATGATAAAAGAAAATTAATGCCCATTTAAAAAATTAGTATTATACTGCATTTATTTATTATATTAGAATGATATATTTATATATATGACATAATAAATATATAAAATTATATATTCTGTGTGTGTTCCTCACATGCTGTGTCCTATAGTTTTTGAAAATTGCCATGTCAACATATACTTGTCGTCACGTGTCCAAGTCCGTGCTTCTTAGCTAATGTTTTAGTTCATCAAATAGATACTCTGGTTATATGGTGCTGTTTCAATTCAATAGGAAACCATAGTAAGCATGGCAATTGCGGGAGCAATCATTGGTGCTGCCATTGGCGGGTGGTTTAATGACCGGTTTGGAAGAAGAACAACAATCCTAATTGCTGATTTTCTCTTCTTTATTGGAGCTGTGATCATGGCTGCGGCACCAAACCCAGCTCTTCTCATCGTTGGACGAGTTTTCGTAGGATTTGGTGTTGGAATGGCGTCAATGACATCCCCTCTCTACATATCAGAAGCTTCTCCTGCAAAAGTCAGAGGTGCCCTTGTCAGTACCAATGGCTTCTTGATCACTGGAGGCCAGTTCTTGTCTTACCTTATCAACTTAGCCTTTACCAAGGTAATGTAATCAGACTTCATTTTCAACAGAAGCTCCTGAAAGTGTTTGTTGCAACTTATTCAATATTGAAAGGTCCGAATGATCAACTCTGCAATCAATTGTTAGAATCAATAGGTCTACAAATCATTCATTTGATAACCTGGAAAGCTTTCTATTTGGATTATAATGATACTTCCCAAAAATCGAAACTGTTGATAAACAGTGGAACTGCATCACCATTTTTGTTCATTAAAATACCAAAGTGGATGGTTGATTCATTCCATGTTAGAGACAATCACAGGGAATCCTTTGATAACACAAATTCCTATTTCTCAATGATATTCCACAATTGAGACAATTGACTGAGTCATAGAACACTAATAGTTTATAAGCAGAATCTAAAAGCATCCCACTTCTAGATTCGTGAATTACTCTTATTATCCAAGCTACAACAACATTATGTCATAGAATCTCAAAATGAAAAGGTTTAAACTGCCCATTTAAAACTTGGCATCATGTATAAGAAGATTTTAATTTACTTTGTGAGTCTGTAATTAGGTGCCGGGGACATGGCGGTGGATGCTTGGAGTTGCTGGACTTCCAGCTCTGTTGCAGTTCATATTGATGCTGCTACTTCCCGAATCACCACGTTGGCTTTACCGCAAGGTTCTTCCACTACTTTTCAAACTAATAATAATGCTTACCACATCACATAATTTAGTAAAATACCCTTTTTTTTCTTTGTTAATTTTTATTTTTTCATCAATCCTTATTTCGTAAACAACAGGGGAGAGAAGAAGAAGCCAAAACTATACTAAGGAAGCTATACCCAGAAGAAGATGTGGAAGCAGAGATTCAAGCCCTTAAAGAGTCAGTGGAAGCAGAAATTCAGGAAAAGGGGTCTTCTGAGAAGATTAGCCTTGTCAGACTGTTGAAAACAAAAACAGTAAGAAGAGGACTCATAGCCGGTGTTGGGCTTCAAGTCTTCCAGCAGTTTGTGGGCATAAACACAGTTATGTATTACAGCCCCACAATAGTACAGTTGGCCGGTTTTGCATCTAACCAAACTGCTCTACTTCTTTCACTAGTCACCGCGGGGCTCAATGCTGGTGGCACAATAGTCAGCATATATTTCATTGATCGGACTGGAAGAAAGAAGCTTCTAGTCATCAGTTTGTGCGGTGTTATTATATCACTTGGCCTTTTATCAGCAGTGTTTCATGAGACTACAACACACTCACCGGCTGTTAGTGCTGCTGAATCATCGAACCGTCTCATTTTACTGCATATACTTGCCCAGATTACACTTCTGCTGGAACTTCTGCTGCCAACTGGAACTGTATGAAGTGCTTGAAGGCCTCATCTCCAGATTGTGGTTTCTGTTCTTCATCCACTGATAAGGTAAAACAGTTTCTCTTAATATATAATTACACTTCAATTGCATTTTATCATGGCCACTAGATAACATTATTACATGATCTCTGGTCCAAAGCTTTGGTTGGCCATGAAGTCTTGTCTCCAAACCATGAAAATTACTTTAGTGCCTCCTATCTAGCAATGCTTTAGACCTAGAAAATTGCCTAAAATTTTAAATTTAGGTCAAATTTCACACCATACCAAGTTCTTTTTAGGGGTTTTTTTTTTTTTTTCCTGGATATATAACAAGTCTGATATGGTGCACAATATGCATCTTATGCTAAGTAAGATCATGTAAACTTCAATGCAACATAACCTCATTTTAAGTCAGTTAAAGTTGGTTATATGAGTAGTGCTATACAAACAAAAAAACTCGTATAAAAATTTTATCCAGAATGACATGACAGCTTTATATCTTCTCATTTTAAAATTAAATTTAAAAGCTCATCAGAATGACTTCTATTTTCAAGAATGTCATTACCACATCATTCTTGTGGTAAATTATGTATAACGATTTTGTTTGCAGATCATTTTCCTAGCCTATACAGGTACTCATTTGATAACAAGTGTTCATATGACTTGATCCCTCAAGAAAATTCCGCTCAACCCAACTAACTTGTGAAAAAAATACTAATCCCCAAAAGAATGAAAATGATGAAAAATTAGAGAAACGTGAGTTATTATTCCAGTGACAAGTTTTTGATTTGTTAATACAGGATATTTCAATATGTCATTATTATTTTCATTGCAGCTGCTTCCCGGGTCTTGCCTGATCTCAAACGACACAGTGAAGGACATGTGTAATGGAGACAGGTTATGGTACACAAGGGGATGTCCGAGCAAATACGGATGGCTTGCACTTATTGGCTTGGCACTCTACATCATATTCTTCTCTCCCGGAATGGGTACAGTACCATGGATTGTGAATTCTGAGATATACCCTTTAAGGTTTCGAGGAGTCTGTGGGGGCATAGCTGCCACGGCAAATTGGATATCAAACCTCATTGTGTCTGAGTCCTTCCTGACTTTGACACAAGTGATTGGGACTTCTTGGACATTCCTAATATTCGGGGTCTTATCAGTTGTTGCCCTTTTCTTTGTCCTAATTTGTGTCCCGGAAACAAAAGGCCTTCCAATCGAGGAGATTGAGAAAATGTTGGAGATGAGAGCTCTGCATTTCAAGTTCTGGGAGAAGCCTAACCCACCCCAGAAGAGTCAAAGTGTGTGAACAAAACAAGTCTAGGAGTATATATTTATTTGGGTGCTTTGAATAGGAAGCCTGATAATAGGCAGATATAATTACTATTATTATGTATCTAATAATGCTGATGTAAGTAGCTCAACTTCGATTCGTGTGCAACGTACCTTTAAAAATTTGAAACTTATGCGGGTGTAAACAATATAGCAAAGGGACTCTTGAACTAGAACAGAGTTGGATTTGTTAAAGGTTTCCACATACAGTTCCTTGTATGATTTTACTTTTGTCGTTGTTTGAACTTCAAATGTCATGCGTCATTTGCTTGTGATCTTTGATTTCCACTTCACCTCTACTTTGACTTAATATTTGGATTCAATCACGTTCGTTATTTTCCTTAGAATAATAAAGTAAAAGAGTGAATGACAATTTTGTCTTTGTTTGAACTTCAAATGTGATGTGTCATTTGCTTGTGATCTTTGATTTACACTTAACCTCTACTTTGACTTAATATTTGGATTCAATCTCGTTCGTTATTTCCCTTAGAATAATAAAGTAGAAGAGTAATAAACAATTTCAATCCCTAAATTATCACTAATTTGTTTATATAGTCCCTAAATTATTGATTTTGTCTTGTTGGTCCTCAAATTATCACATTTTGGTTCTATTTGGTCCAAATGGTAGATGGCATCCAAATTGTTAACAACAAAGGCAAAAACGTGGCTTGCACGTGAGATTCAAAACTGGTAAATGGGTGAAACAAACTTTTCACCTTTATATTAACATTAAAAAAATAAAAAAGAAATTCCAGTGAAAAAAAAGAAAACGAAAAAGAAATAAGAGAGAGAGAGTATAGGGGGAACAAGATGCTTGTTCAATCCTTTTGAACAGAGTATAGGGGAAGAATAAATAAATAAAAGAAAGAAAAAGGATGCTTGTTCAATCCTTGCTGGTTCTAGGTTTCTTCAGTTGCACTAGCTGATGCGTGAGCTACTGGTTTGCAGCCACTGATCTATGGAAGGGGACCTACTCCTGGCATGGCAAGAATGCCGATGCTAGTATGGATATTTCAAAAATATTGTCATATTTGTATTGATTACTTACCAGTTACTCATATTAATAGAGTTGTATGTATATCGATTACTCGAAATACATATTGGATACTTTTTTACATATTTTTTGGCAATTGGTACTCCATGGATATTTCATGAGTACATGATTGGTATATCGAGAATACACCAAGTTATGGGACATTAATGAAGATACGTTTAATATATTAGAATTCTAATTTATTTGAAATTGAAAATCCTTTATTTGATGTGCCAGAGATAATGAAGTTGATGGAAGTGAAATTTTAAGTTTTCAAATTTCACTTAACTTGCTTTTGAAATGAAACTTTATTTTGTAATTTGTCCTATTTAATGGTATTAAATAGCTTATAGACTTTGCTTTAGTATTGGTATTGGTATTGGTATTGTTAAATTATGATTTCTTTTTTAGTTTTGTAATTTCTCTTTTTAGTTTTGATATTGAACTTGATTTCTAAATTGAATCTCAAACTATAAATTATAAAAAAAATTAAAAATTAAAAAAAAATTATTGAGTACTTCAACCGTATCTGTATCTTATTTTTTTCAAGTCTTATCGTATCAATGTACTCATATGGTATCTGTACCAATATTCGTATGCGCACCCATCCTTCATAGTGCTGATGCTTTTGCCTGATGGAAGAATTGGATATGTCCATTGAAATAATATTTACCATCAGATCCTTCGTTTTTGGCTCTTTCTCCTTTTTATTTATTTATTTTTTGGATAAATTACATTGACACTCCTTGAGCTTTGATCAAATTACATTCCATCCCTTGACGTTTTGGAAATTACATTCTCACCCCTATAGTTAATAGTCTCAATTCACAAACCCCCTGCTTATATATAACGCAACAACTCCTAGTAGAAAAATAAGGAAAATTACATTGAAAAAAAAAAAAGTAAAGCAAAAGAAAAGTAAAAAACTAAAAAAGTAATGCAAAGTAAGAAAACAGACAGTGCATTAGTTCAATGTTTTCATTCCGTACAATGACAAGGGGGTTAGTGTAATTTTCCAAACGTTAGAGAGTGATATGTATTAAATTCAAACTTCAGGGGGTGTAAGTGTAATTTACCCTTATGTTTCTATACTCTGTTCTTCCTTTTTTTTTTAGACCTATGTACTCAACTAGTAGTGATAGAGAGCTCTATAGAGCAACCCTAAAAAGCAGCTTTATTGAGCTGGCAGTGAAAAAAAAAAAAAACCAAACAAACAAACATAGTAAGGAAAAATACAAATTAGAGTTGTTTTAGAGCTCTAAAACATTTTCCTATACTCAACATATATATGTGGCAGGAACTTTCTCTCCATTAGAATTTTTTTTTAATTTTTTTATTAAGAATGCTGCTATTAGCACTCCATCAATTATTTTGGACCCCCATTCTTTAGTTTTTTTTTATTATTATTATTACAATAATAACCTCAAGTGAAATTACTAAAAAGGACATCAATAATTTTGGGACACCCTATCTCACAATTAAACTTACATACTCACTAAATCATGAGTTAGGGTTTATGAAAGCACTCACCTCCATCATTACCTATCCATCTTCCTCAAATCCCACTTTTAAAACCTATTCACCATCAAAACCTTGAAAACCCTTTGGTGGCAATATTTCAACGACAACGGTGACAACCATTTGATTACATACACTTCTCCAATAATTACAATGAGTGAAACTTTTTCTGACAACCACAACTCCATGAGACGAGAGAAGTACAACAAATAAAGCTTAGAAAAAGTTCATAACTTTGATGGCGTTCTTAACTCAGAGGAGATTGGCCTTATAAGAGTAAGTTTTTGAAAACAAAAATGACAAAAATAATAAAAATTGTTCGTTATTTTTTCGGGACTGAACTCCCAAACATATGACCTAAATTCAAGAACACAGGCCCGATTATTATTTATTTGTTTAGGAACAGGTAACCGAACCTTTTTTATTTATTCAGGTACAAATAACCGAAGCAACAGTAGAAGCAAACAAACAAATGAGGTCTGACCACTCTTGGGTGGTTGATCGACCGGTCGATCAGGGAGTAAAATCCTGCCCAGTTTTGCTCATACAGAGAGCATACAAGTACAGTGAAATCATGGATGAATGACAGAAAATCAACCAAAGAAGTATGAAAACGGATTGTGTCGTGTGTGTGAAAAGAGGTAATAGAAAAAAAAAAAATCCAAACAGATTGACAAAATAGAGAAAAAAAATTTTAATCACAAAAAATTTTTCCATTGATTTTGGGAGGTTCCATCGTCGTGGGTTTTGTTAGGGTTTTGGGGAGAGGCTTTTTGGGGTGTGGGCGTGTGCATTTGAATGGGCAGAATATTTTTACAAGGATAATTTTGGTATTATTTAGGGGGCAGAAAAGAAATTTTAAGGATTTTACAATTTATAAGTGAGGGTCCAAAGAAATGGGGTACAAAATAATTGATGGGGTGCTGATAACAATACTTTTTTTTAAAATGCTAACATATAAGTGAAAAGTCTCTTTTACTAATTTACCAGCTTTGAATCTCACGTGTAGGCCACATTTTTGTCTTTGCCGTTGGATGTCATCTACCATTTGGACCAAACAGAATCAAAATGTGATAGTTTAGGGACCAACGAGACAAAATCAATAGTTTAAAGACTACATAAATAAATTGGTGATAGTTTAGGGGTAGAAGTGTTTTTAAAAATTAAAAATAAATAAAAAAAACAAATTTTGGGGTCAAAAAACATAAAAGCCAAAGCGAAAATGTCCATGACTTCATTTTGGGTACTCGGTTCATAAATTTAATTTTAATTTTTCTTTATCTAAAAATTCACACTGTAAAATACTTTATTTATAAAGACAAACTCTCACAAAATGACTAAACTACCTAGGTATATATTTATATTGTTTCAGCTTCTCCCTCACCAATTGAGAACCAAACCCTAACCCTCTTTCTCCTATCTCTCTTCACTTTCCTCTTCTTCTCTAATCTGAACCACCACCATCGCTGCCCTTTCCTTTAACTCACCTCTTCGATGATCTGAACCGCCAAAACTGCTACCCCTTCCTCCACTTCACCCGCACATCTGGCACACAGATCTGGCTCTCTTTCTCTATTCTCTCTTCTTTCTCATCTTCATCTTCTTCTCCAATCTGTCATCGACCACCGCTCAATTAGTTATCGATCCCAACACCACTGCTACTGTAGATAAAGACGCTAAAGATCATGAATGCCATGCTCGCGACCTTAAAGTTGGTCCTTGTAGACACCCCATTTTTTTACGGCCCTTAGGACATGGGCACCACTAATTGATCACTCGATGATGAATGTGTACGCTTGTCAAATGCTTGACTTCCTCAGTAGGGAACCTCAATGTTTAACCTACAAACCTTGTGCCTTGTTTTGGACCAAAATAATATTTTCAGGCTTGAGCATCCAGGGACCTGTAGACCCACCAGCGTGGCTTGCCGTCCACTAATGTGGCTTGCTGTCCACTAATGTGGCTTGCCACTCAATATTCAATTGTAACTTCTTTACTTCCCTCTTAGTCTTCTTAATATATCGAAGAATATTCTGAACATACCATCTACGAATGTACGTCGCCTTAAAAGGTGCACAATCACGGTAACTACGCTTATATCCACTGGCCGCCGGTGTCCTTGACCGGTGGTACACAAGGGGAGTTCGATATTGGCTGCTCATACCTCCTTCTATTTTTTATAAAACACTCAAAATCTTTTATCATACAAATTCTGCAGATTCTCTTACCTCTCCTAACCCTTCTGTTTAAACACCTTAGCTTTGATATTTTTTCTCTCTGCTCCTCGTACCCACGAACAAACTTCGCTGGAGCTGACTGCCGCCTCTTTTCCTATAGTCCTATTTGCCATGTCAAAAAACGATCTACACACATTTGAGTGAACTGCCTGTAATTCTCTGGATACTCTTCTAAGGAGTATGACATTGTATACCAAAACAATCAACAATAAAAAAAGGACTGAAAATGAGGGATGAAACAAGGTACCAGAAAACAACTTCACAACAATAGCTATCTCACTGCAAAAGTATATTCCTCTCTGCCATAAAATGTTTTATGGTACCAAATAAATAGCCAAAGTGGCCTGCATGTAAGGACGAAGATTCCCCATTCAAAATAATTCAAACACATTTATTTTCCCGCATTTTCTTTATGTTTATCATTCTGTAAGAATATTTACT